TATATATTCTTTTGGCTCTGATATACTATATGTAATGTAATATGACCATATTGGGATTGGGATTTCCAAGATTATCTTCTTAGTTGTTTCATTTCACTTTAAATTACCCCTTCATAGATAAATATAAACACATTGCTATTTTAAAGCATGTATTTGGTGTGGCACAATATAATGGCAAAGGACAAAGGTTCTCCCAAATGTGTGCCAACGCTTGATAAGAGGACATCAGATAAGATAAGATAAAATATATATATATATAAACTGCTGTTTGCATTTTATAAGTATGATGTTAGTAATAGAAATATTTTTTGAGTATTGTGCTTTCTTGTTGTACTCAATCTGAGTCACTCTGAGTCAATCTGAGTCAATCTGTCAGTGAGTTTGAGACCCCTGTTCTATAAAATCATCAGAATGGGGTTTTAAAGAAGCTTGAGTAGTAGGAGAATTACCTCAATCCATATAGGAACATTTAATCCTTTAGTTTATAAGAAAAATTTAAATTCAAAATCATTAAATTTGGACATACATGGTTTTGACTGGACAGGAAGGGAAAATTGTAATCTAAAAAGTAACTAGTAACTAAAGCTGTCAGATAAATGTAATGGAGTATTTAAAAAGTACAATATCTGTCTCTGGGATGTAGTGGGGTTTAAAAATGAAGATGTATAAAAACACGAGTACTAAACTAAAGTACAAGTACCTCAAATTCGAACTTACCGGTAAGTTACCGTACTCGAGTAAATGTAGGCTACTTAGTTCAACATCCCAACAACAATTCAAACTGAAACTGCAAAACATATTCTGACTATAACTCATTTTTTTTACCTTCTTTTTCCTTGAAACAGATTCTGTATGTTTGGCCTCCACACTTTTCGATCGATCCACAGTCACCGCCTCCAGAGTCGCGTCTTTTCTGAAAGTGTCTCCTGACTTTCTCCTTCTCTCTGTCCGACAGATCTCTCGCTTCAAAGAACAACTCGTGTTGGTATTCGTCCATTTTAGATATGACTCTGAACTTAAAGGAAAACTTTAAATACGTGCGGCAGCTGTCCGTAAAACTGTGCTCTGCTGAGCTTTTGTTTCACTTTCACTTTATGGTAAACGCAGTGGTGTTTGCTTTCTTCCTCATGCACATCGACACACCCAGGTACTTTTTTAACCTGTTCTGTCGAAAATACTTTGACCCGTGGAATGTAATGATGGAGATAAGATCGATGATGATGTTTTTCCCCAGCATTTATAATGTTGATTTGAAAATATGTAATGAAATACATTGTTATATTTATTTATGGTGGTTGTGCCCAGTGTGGTCCCATATACTGTCAATGGTTGGTACTGTGGTCTTCCAGCTCCACATGTCTTTTGTAAGGCATTAAAGCCTCCCTGCTGCAGGTGGGAATGATTGTTTGCAGTTGTGTAGCCACTCCCTTTTTAAAATGACTTCTAATTATCATGAACCATTTGCCATGATGAATGTCTAAGGCCGAAAAGTTGCTAATAAATGTTTGTACTGCAATTTAGACAGTGTGAGGGAATTTATCTTTTCTGCTTTTTGACCCATCCCACTCCTACAAACGTGCATCATGAAGTAGATGTGAGTAATTTCTGTGCCTATTTTAACCATTTGAAAATAAATCCAGTGGGGAAAGGAAACTATATATCACAAATCAGTTAATATTTGGAAACTATCTGACTATCACAGCTTATTTGAAGAAAACAGTTGCCTTCTGCTGCTAAAAATGTGATAGCGCTGAGACTGAAACTGTAAAACCAAACACAATGAGGCTCAAAAGATCAATAAAGCTGCAGAGTTGGGGGATATTTCTCTGTGTGCATTGTTATAAGCCACCATGTTCACATTATGTTTAGTCACAAGACTGAATGCAAATTTCAACCAAATAAAGTTTTTTTTTATTTGGCAATACAGCGTGTTAATCTGGTGTGATAATTGGTTGTAATCTCGCTTTTTAAACCTGAACAGCACAGGACACAAATGCCTGGTGACAGACTCCTTGATTCAACAACAATCTTGTCAGTCTGCACTTGAAAGGCTTCTCTCAGGGGTTATTTTGGGCTGGTGATTGGCTGAACTCTAGCAATGCTGTACACAGAGGTCCAAACACAGTCTCAGCCCCATTGCCAAGCAATTGTAAAATATAGAGAGGTTTACCAGAATCTTTTCAAAAGTCAGTCAACATTTATTTTACAATAGTGCTGTAGATGCAGAAAATGGTCACATTTGTTGAGTTAAACACACATATACATTTAAAAATCTAATCTAATCCAATTCACATGCCCATACGTACATTGAAACGCATGGTTGCTGTAGTGATTCCTGTTCTCCACGCTGTATATGAAAAAATACCTTTTCCAGTGTCACTCTAATGTAAAAGATGGGGGACAAAATCCAAAGTCCTTGTTTTTGAGGCTTCATCTGGAACTTGAATTTCATCATGTCTTTTTCCCTGCCTGATACTCTCCCTAACACATCAGTATGAATCCACCAAGCATTTCACTTTACCTGCATGCTCCACCCCCTGACCTCATTCTGTGTCAGACACTCAGTGAAGTAGCTCTTGGAGCAGCCCTGCAGATGGAGGCATAACATCACCAGTGGCGAAAGGCCCACTTCCCTCTCATCAGATCACAGTTTCTCAGTTTTTTCTCAGTAGACATTTTCCTACTTCAGTAGAAGAAGGCTTTCTGTTTATCATTGGGGGTGCACCTGCACATTTACCTGTGAAAAATGATGTTAAATAATGTTAAGAAGTGGTTCCACTATTGCTTGATTTAAAGTAGAATGTCTCACCTGCTCATCAGGGTTGTTATGTTGACAGAGAGAGTTGTCACATTTGTTGTGTTGCTGCTTGTGTTGCATTGCCATCTGGTGGTAAACATGATGGATGTGCTGTAGCTGGGGATGCAGCTGTTTCGGGGATTGATTTTGTGTTGAAATCTGGGACTGTTGCCATAATTTGGGAATGCATACGTTGTTGTTCCCTGATAAGGACATGACAGGAACTCTCTACCAGCTCCTTGCTTTCTTTACCTTCTCTCCCTGGAAGTACCACCGGAACCCCCAAGTCTATGTAGAGCCAAAGTGTCTGACACCACACTGGTCAGACTTGTGTTTAAGTCTGCCTGAACATCCTGGACCCTCCAATTTTAAGGTTCCTGGTAGTTCCTCAATTTCATGTGCTGCTGTTTCATACCACATAAAAACAAACCAAAAGAGGAAAGCGGCCATGGATTTTTTATTTTTTTTTATGCACTGTTATCTCGTGATAACGACTTATTAATTTGTTATCTCGAGAAAACAAAGTTTGGCTAACGGTAAATTACACTTTACGTTAGTTGTTTACTTGACTGGAAGTCGTTGTGGCAGCTCTTGTAGGTTGAAATCAAGACGAACACATTATTAATTAATTAGTTATCACGAGAAAAACAATA